CCTTCTCTAAAGTTTAGAAGTCATGACTTCACAGGTAAGTGCCAGTACCTGCCCTCTTAAAGGTTACTTTTACTCCGTCTCAGGCTGCATCTCTGTTCTGGGAGTTGAGCTCAGCAGATCACTCTCTAGTGTTTTGAAGATTTTCAGTCCCAGGCTCATCATTCAAACATATTCAACATTTTGACTTTAGTGGCATTAAACTCAGTCTACCCAAAGCAACTCAAATTGTCCCCTTCTGATTTCCTAGTGAACAAAAGTTCTCTGGAGAAGCTATCTCCACAGTAACATTCCTGCAGAGGGCTTGGCCTTGCTTGGCTAGAACCTTCTGATTCTGAAGACAAGCAACATTGTAAGTCAATTGAGATGTCTTAGGCCTTCTAATATCAATGATCTTAACTCCGTATCTCACCTAACATTCTTATTACTATTTCAGAGGCCAGCCACGGTGGTACTCATCTGTGATCCCAGTATCCGGGAGGCAGGAGGATTGCCATAAGTTTAAGGTCAGCCTAGTATATTGATACATAGAGAAACCCTATCTATCTCAAAAAGTCAAAACAAGGGCCTTAGGAGATGGTTCAGTAGGTAAGGGTGTTTGCTGTGGAAGCGAAAGGACCCATGTTCAAATCCTCAGTGCCCATAAGAAAGCCGGCCAGCTGTGCCAGCATGGCCCTGTTGTGATCCAATCAACCCAAGCGACACACGAGGTTACCAAAAAGCAAGATTTAATGCAAGGCAGCATAAAAGAAAAAGGGAAGAAAGAGGCTGGTCGATCAGGATCACAAAACAATCTCAGATCTAAATGTGACTGCAGTGTCAGTTGAAGCAAGTATTTAAGCATAAAAATCATAAACATTTGTTGACAAGTTACAGTTCCAATTTTCACCAGTCGGAGTTCAAAGATTGGGGGCTTTCCTTAAGTGTTTCATCGTTGTCCATGGACATCCAGTACAAGCTTGTCAGTCCAACCAATCAGATTCATTTGTTCCTCCTGTTGTTAGGAACAGCCATGGTGTTCCTAGAGAACTAAAGATGCATAACGACTATTTCTATGGTTTCAGGAAGAGGTTGGTCAGCCATTGGAGAGTTTCCAGCTCCCCTGAGGCTTGGGAACCTGAACTTTATTTCACCCTACAGGTAAGATGGAGTCTGAAGTCAAAATGCCAGCACTTAGAACGGGTGCTTTTGGTCTGTGTCCAACATCCCAACACTTGGGCAGCAGAGAGGGCAGACTGATCTCAACAGCCTCCTGGTTAGGTGTCCTAGTTCACTTTCTATTGCTGTGGGGGAAAAGTAGACAAAAACAGCTTGGGGAACTCAAGCAGGTCTGGGACCTGGGGACTGGACCTGAAGCAGAGGCCATGGAAAAACTCTGCTTACTCACTTGTTCCCCAAGGTTTGCTCAGCTCGCTTTCTTATACAACCCAGGACCACATGCTTATGGGTGGCACCTCACACAGTGAACATGGCCCTCCAGCATCAATCAGTAATCAGGAAAATGCCCCCTCAGCTCTGTCTAGAGGTAAATCTGATGGAGACATCGTAATTGAGGTCCTCTCTTCTCAGATGACCCTAGCCTGTGTCAAGCTGACATAATACCCAAAAACTAACAAGCATGCCAGATTAGCTGAAACAGCATGCTTCAGGTTTGTTCAGAGAGCCTGTCTCAGAAAACAGGCTGTAAAGTCACACACACACACACACACACACACACACACACACACACGCACGCACGCATGCACATACACAATGCATAAGTATAAGAAAAAATAGATCATGACATTCATAGGAAGATGAATGCAACTCGAAATCATTATGTTAACAAAACAAAACAGGACAAACCCTGCATGCTTTATCTCAAATGGTATCTGTATGCCATTATGTATGTGTACATAGATGTGTCTGCGTGTTTATACAAACTTCTCAGAATCTAGCTTAGCCAACTTCTAGCCACCTGAACAGCTTGAGAATGCTCTGAGGTAACATCTGAAAGGGATTAGCTTGCTGTGCTGGAGCCCACCTCTCTGATGCTCCATATTTATTGGTAAATGTATTGTTTTGTAAATTTCTGTTCCCTGCTGACTACAGAAATTTATGCAACCCCTTCCAGGATGGAAGGTGTCACTTAAGGCAATGGCTCTGTGTTCTCTAGGCCACAGTGACTTATATTTGGCTCTTGGTTGTCTGTCCAACTTTTCATTCATTGGGCTCAGATTGAATGCCATTTCTTCCAGGAGAGCTCTCTTAGCCGACAGAAGACAGGCCCCTTTGTCCGGCGCCCACCACCTCCAGCCATCATTGCTGCTGAACCTCAGCTCTGAGATACTCGCTTCACATTCGAAGTCACCAACAGTGAGGCAAAAGGAGTTAGGAATGGGATTCCTGCTGCCTGCGCGATCCAGAACCGATCCAGGAGGGGCTGCTTCTTTATCAGAGTTCAATGAGTTAGTTTCAGGATGAAAACTGAATTTCCATTTGAGTTCCAAGTTAAAGCTCAATGAATTTTAAAACTCCACACCAGTCTGTGGTATACAGAATGAAGCGTATGAGCAGAAAGCTGCCTTCCACAGCCACTGATTGAGATGGGCAGTGCTTGGAACCTTTCTCAGGAAAAATGGCAGAGGTTGACTTCCAATGGGTGTTTTTGTATGGTTGGTTTTGGTTTTTTGAGACAGAGTTTCACTGTGTAGCCCTGGCTGTCCTGGAAGCCACTCTGTAGACTGGGCTGGGCTGGAACTCACAGAGATCTGCCTGCCTCTGCCTCCCACGTGCTGGGATTAAAGGTGTGCGCCACCATTGCTCCCCATGGGTGTTTTTGAGTGGAAATTTTAAGAGACTCCATGAGCCAGGGAGACACACTTACCTGTTAGACTTTCTGACCATTTTTGGAGCAGCTCGTTACCTTCTAGTAAGATGTAGTTGTGGGTGGTTTGAATAAAAATGGCCCCCACAGTCCCATAGGGAGGTGTGGCTTTGTTGGAGTAGGTGTGGCCTTGCTGGAGGAAGTGTGTCAGCTGGGGCGGGCTTTGAGGTCTCAGATGCTCAAGTCACGCCCATTGCGATCCAGATGCTGTTTTTCCAGCACCATGTCTGCCTGCATGCTTCCCGCCATGGCGATAATGGACTGAACCTCTGAACCTGTAAGCCAGCCCCATTTAAATGTTTTCCTTCCTAAGAGTTGTTGTGGTCATGGTGTCTCTTCACAGCAATAGAATCCTAAGACAGTAGTTAAATCAAAACAGAGACATCTGGAAATGCCACGGAATCACTGACTTTACCATGTCCCAGGACAAAACTACAGCCATTTAGTTTAGTGGTTTTAATTGGCTTTATCTTCAGATTGTAAAACTAAGCCATACACACTTCATTCCGCAAAATACAGTGAGCATTCCAGTGAGGTAGGTGGAGGTTTCTTTCACAGACACAAAGGGGCTGAAGAAAGTGGAAAGAAGCACAGGAGCAGGCTGGGTTGGCGCTGCCGCACGCCTTTAACCCCAGCACTCGCGAGGCAGAGCCAAGCGGATCTCTGTGAGTTCAAGGCCAGCCTGGTTTACAGAGCAAGACCCAGGACAGGCACCAAAACTGCAGAGAAACCCTGTCTCCAAAAAAAAAAAAAAAAAAGCAGCAGCAGAGGAGCAGACTGGTCATTTGAAAGTTCCTCCCCTTGTAAGATTCGGGAAACAACATCAGGTTGCCTTTGTGTGTGAAAGGACTAAGGCAGAGGCTGCTTCATTACCATGCCAACTCAAACAGCTGTTTCTGAGAAAGTGGAACAAACAGTTCCAGTTAGTGGTAAGTGACTCCATTTTGGGGTTTAGCAAAGAACTCCAAATGACTTCCTGCAATCTCTGTTCAGCAGCCATATTTTTCATAGTAATGCTTTCATTCCTAAAGGTATTTTAAAATCCTTTAAAGATTTTAAATTATTGTGTATGTGTGTGTAGAGACTGGGTATGTGCTCCTGAGTGCAGACTCCTGTGGAAGCCAGAAGAGGGCTTTGGGTCCAGTGGAACTGGACTTGCAGATGTGTGTTGGGGGAGGGTTGGGGAGGTGGGTGCTGGGAACTGAATTTGTATCCTCTACAAGAGCAGTACCTGTTTTTAACTGCTAATCATCTTTCCACCCTCCCTCCCCGACACCCCCACTTTAAAATCCTTTAGAAAATGTTCTAGGGCTGGGCACAGCGGTACATACTGTAATTCCAGAACAGGAGGGGTAAGAGTTTGAGGCCAGGTTGGAGAATGGTGGTCTCTGTCTTGAATCCCAGCATTGAGAGGCAGAGGCAGGCAGGTCACTGTGAGTTCAAGGGCAGCGTGGTCGACATATCAAGTGCCCAGCCAGCCAGAGCTACACAGTGAGACTGTCTCAAAAAACAAAACAAAACAACAAAAAGAGTTTAAGGCCAGTTTAAGGCTGCACAGAGAATTTGTCTTCTAGGGTTCAACAACAACAAAAACCCACAAGAGAATGACTATTTTTTGATTTTTTAACACGAAGTTTCACTATGTAACCTTGGCTTTCCTGGAACCTCTCAACAGAGAAGGCTGGTCTCAATGAGAACCACCTGCCCCTGGGATTAAAGGCGGGTGCCACCATACCCAGCCTGAATGTGTGTGTGTGTGTGTGTGTGTGTGTGTGTGTGTGTGTGTGTGTGTGTGTGTGTGACTGCAGATGGCCAAGAATCATTCAGCAGCTCCCTTACGGGTCAAAGTTAAGTTCAAGGTTTGACTGTAACACAGAAGAAAAACAAGGATAAACAGGGCAGTGTCTACCTCAAAAGCGGCCAAATCACCGCTGTCCCAGTCCGGTGAAAGCTTTGGTTTGAGGCCATAGAGTAGCCTCAGGATAAAACTGAGCAGCTTTCCCCTGGAGTCGGTGCCCTAGGGCTCACACCTTTGTGGGGTGGGGTGGCAGGAGCCCCACTAGCTGAATCGCATATAATAGGTGCCTAACAGTCATCAGCTCCCGGTTTTCCTTGGCAGATTCTGGCTCAAGCCTACCTCGACTACCAAACTCGAGCGTGGGCAAACTGAAAGGCTCGGCTGGGCAGCGCCCGTGCACTTGGCTCTGACCCTGCCAGGCGCTAGGAGGGCGTGACGCGCTGCCCGCACGTCTCCTCCCCGTCCTTTGGCCTCCCGAGAAGCGCGCAACGACTCCCACGTCCTCGGTCGAATTCCGGTCCGCAAGGAACACGAAGCCGGACCCCGGCGAGGCCCGGGGGAGGTGAGCCGAGGATGCGCGGGCTGGGAGGCGGCTCGGAGGATGCGCGGGGCAGCTTGAGCTAACG